GGTGTCCGAGCGCTGGGGATTTTTCGGGCAGATGGGTAAAGTGAAATAAAAAACGCCCCAATTTTAATTGAAGACTTCTACTGAATTGGCTATATAGATTAAAAGATTTTGTCTCGAGCAACCCTCGATCCACAGTTGAAATGAAATGAAATGGAGTTTGACGTCCTACTGTGCTGCTCCGACTGGGATCATGAAGTGTAGCACCATAGAAATTGTTACACCTTTTCCCTTCCAGAATCTGTCTGCTGTCTGACGAATTCTCACAATTATGATAGTTTTGTAGCTTTGGGTTTTTGACCTTCAGTTATCTAATTGGTCAAATATGATGTAAATAATTAGAGAGATTGGTTAATTGGGTCAAATGACGTCGAAACCCATGCACCCTTATTCGGTTAGTCGAAATTTACTGGAGAATTTCCCATCTGTTATCAACCTAGAATTGAATGCTTACCACATAATGACTATTTTAATTAACGCATACATATTAATAATTTTTTTTATTATTTCACTATGTGTACACTAAATTTTATGTATACGTGAGGTATAGGCTAGGCCTAGAAATGCGGGAATTCTTGACTTCATCTTTAACATTCTTTAAATGTTAATCGTTTTAATGACATTAAGTAATTGTACTGGAAATACACAGGTGATTTGTCTATTGAATTACTATTTATTACGAAACGTTGCTCGAATATAAACAGTAACTGTATACCACAGAATTGTGACTTGTGTATTGCTGGGGGTTGGATGACTGAATGGTTAGCGTGCGCGCGCTGTATCATAAAGTCTGTCATTGAGTCAACTGGCGTGGTTTCGAATCCCCGATTGTACGTGACAAGGAGTAGGGTCGCCTGTCCAACCTCGTGGGTTTTCTCCAGGTCCTCCCACTGCTAAAGACCCCTACGCGCAAGCGAATTATTGAAATAAAATTAAACCATATGTTAGTCCCGAAATGACCTAGTTTGTGTCGAGTGGACGTTAAACCCCATTTCTCTCTCTCTCTTTTGTGTATTGCTTTGAACGCAAAGTCGTATAGATAGATGGCACTTTTGCTCCGAGTGAACTTTGACCTTACTAATTCAAGATGACGGAACGGACATCAGCAATATGTCTATTCTAGACAATTAGGTTTCAGTGATTAATTAAATACTTATTATTTCTGTATTGCTAATTGCATGGTGTTTGTGTTAAAGGCACTGATCGCCATTTAAGGAATTCAGAATCCCTGCGAACTAGACTATTGTGACAGATAAACCTAATAGGCCAGTGCCACCTACCTGTTGGATAAAATCTTTTGATGGACCTTTTTAACCCGATTGAATTCAAGTGGATATATTATCTCTACCTTTCATATTTTAGCTTTTTTGAATTAATTACATATTAAATAATCGATTTGAATACATTTCAGCAAGGTTTTTGTCGTACAAAATTGGATATTGCCCACAAATTGCAAATCACGATCAGCGGCCTTAACTTGCCAACACTTCTTGTTACAGACTATTTTTAATTGCTTTTGTTTAATGCTTAATAAAATATATCATAAATGTCAAGTAAATATAATAACCGTAGTATATGCACTGTTATTCTTTATTTTTGAACAAATATTAAAGTAAATATTAATATTGTTGAAACAGTATTTAAGAAAACGTCCAATTTGGTCCTCACAAGTCCCCAAGCTGTTAATAATCCTGGACACCCAGTTTCTTAAGACTGAAGTTTTAAAGGATGACGGCAATAAGATTGTGCTGTCGCTCGAAACAGACAATTTCCAGCCAGTTTGTCATAGCGCTGTGGGTCGAACTACTGTATTATTATTATATGCGTTGCGACTCATTTGTCTCAATTTCTAGATCCCAAATATTAGCGATTTAACTCGTTTAACCCCAAAATAACATGCCACGGGCTGACTCTCATCGCATCTTAAAGACCACTTAAGATCAAAAATCTAAATTTCATGTATGTATAGCCCATGGTTACTATATCAACTTTACGGCAAGTTCACACCAATCTGATTAAAATTAAGTCCGCTGTTAACGTTTAAGTATCCGACACGCCAAAACGCTTTTCGATTTTTCAATTACGACCTTAATCCGGTTGATTGGATGGTGACGTCACAGGCACTACACATAGGATATACATTATCTATACAATATCTCACCGTATGTACAATATAGTACTATCAATACACACAGCAACTGGGCAAGCGTCTATTGACGGTTCAATTACCACGTGACTGGCCTAATCATAATCACCGAATTATCGTCTTTCATTGGTATAGATTAGACATTTGTGATTGGAATATTTTAGAGTGAATTTAAAATGCCGTATCATGCCGTAGATCAATTTAAGCTGCCTTTGTTTAAATAGGCCACGTGTCAAATGAAGATGACTCAAGAAATTAGCGCATTTACCGGTAATTTGGATAACCCCGTAATACTTGATATCCCAAACTTAAGTACAGAAATACAAATGGTGCCAGTCATTTGTCGATATATTCATTATTAGCTATATATAATAATAATAATAACCATTTCTATATATAAAGAACAACTACAGATACGCTTGGTATCTTATTAACATGTACCGTTCCATGTACTACGGATGTAGTAAATGAGTTCCTGGTACCGTTTGGTGAGTGATTAAACTGTCAATGCTGTTGTTGTTGTTGTTGTTTATTACAAATTTAACGTCCAATACATAATGCATGATATTATGGACAGGTTGATTTGATTAAGTTATTTACTTAAATAAAAAAATAGAAGTTAGGTAAAAACACTAAATAATAAAAAGTTCTTGTATATCTAAACGTCACTTTAAAACAGATTTAAAATAATTAAAAGTTCTTGTATATCTAAAAATCACTTTAAAACATGGTTTTAAAAATGGCTTGAAAATCGTTGTCGTGGGAAGAGAGGGCGGGTCATCTTCTCACTTTGTCATAATGAAAGTAAAAATAGGAGATGCAATTGTAAAATACTTTTATTATAAAGAAGATAACCGATGTTAGACATTATAACCTAATCGTATCAAAAACGTTAATCCATCCATCAATTAAATGTTGTTTAAACGCCAATCAACAAACAATACGAGGCTACTTGATTACAAAAACACCGGTGAGCAATAATTATTGGGTATATAGTAATTTTAAACAACTTATTAGTAAAACCTAATTTATTTTATACAATTAATGTGTGTGTGTATGATTCTACCATTAGTTCGTTCGTGAGGTATTACGCAAACGTTCCACTGAGAGTGATGTCTTTGGCCGGCGTAAAAAAAGATAATTACCTAATCAACATTCTTAATCCCACTAACACTCACTGCTAACACCAACTTGAAATTAATTTATGACCCATGCCTGTATGGTTACATCTCACTGTGCCCACTTTTGATTAATCCAATTAAGGTCTAATTAGGATTAGTGTATTAAGCGGATTAGGATTAGGTGTTATAGGTAATTAGATGGAAAAAAACAAATATTGAAAGTGACTAAATATTCAGTCTTATAATTGGTGAGATGAACTCACTGTAATCGTTAAAGTGATGAATTTTATTCAAAAAATGACACTTGAATATAATATGAATTATGTTCAGTAAGCCTACACATTACACGGTCTTTATAAGGACACACAGAAGTCAGTCTGTCATATTTCATCATGGCAAACGTTCAAGTAAACATCCAGTACATCCCCAATGCTCAAGGTGGAGAAAACTTAGTCCATGAAGAATACAAATTCCATAAAATATTTGGTTTTTGTTTCCATCTAATTACCTATAACACCTAATCCTAATCCACTTAATCCACTAATCCTAATTAGACCTTAATTGGATTAATCAAAAGTGGGCACAGTGAGGACACACCGCCTGTATAACTTTTATAGTCGGATTGATTAATTAATAACAGATATTAACCACACTACACTTTATGCGGAAAAGCGAAGTGCTCGCAGTAAAAACCACATAACTGGACCCGTATATTTTTTACATATTAAAAGTGTTCGTCCAATAAGTTCCATATTGTAAAAAATTAATTAAGAGTTCAGGACTTCAAAGTTTAAAAGTTGTAGGCACTCTAAATTGGATCTTAAATTAAAATAAATTAAAAACAAATTATTCCGTAGTCAATTGTTTTATTTAATTAGGGGGATTAAGGAATCTTTCAGGCGTTAAAGAATACACACGCCGGCTGTATATAGGTAATTAAGGAATAAACATTAGGGGGATTAAGGAATCCTTCAGGCGTTAAAGAATACACACGCCGGCTGTATATAGGTAATTAAGGAATGAACATTCCGAATATGCATTCGGTCACTGTGACGTCACTGGCGTCTGAGGGGATTAAGAGTGTTTTCGATAATTGGCAAAGCCGTTTTTACGGAAGGTCTATTTTTACGACTTTGAATGAAGATAACTGAATTAATTTCAACCAGATTGGCGTGAACTTGCCTTAAAGTGGATATAGTAACCATTGGCTACACGTATCTCAAATCTTCCGGGACCATCTTATGTGCACTTTAAAGTTACATTTAGGTAACTTTGATCGAAGTATTGTTCAGTTAATGTTCAGGAAGTTTTCACGGATGTCTATTGTGTATACAGAAATACAAATCTTCAAGGAAAAAGATGTACACAAAATTTGTCAGGAACACTGTCTAAAATGTATTTTTTATTAATATAAATATCTTCAAGGAAAACACAAGAGAAGTTGTGAGCTAAATTGTGTGTAGGGAAGCTCAAAAAAATATATGCTATAATGACTAACTGCAAATAACAGTCCCCCAGTGATCAAGCCTGCAAAAGAGAGAGAAGGGGTTTAACGGCCACTCGACACAAACTAGGTCATGTCGATTTCGTGAATTAATTTTATTTCAATAATTCGCTTGCGCGTTGGGATCTTTAGCAGTGGGAGGACCCGGAGAAAACTCATGAAGTTGCAGACAGGCGACCCTGCTCCTTGCCAGGTATAACCGAGGAATTGGAAACACGCCAGTTGACTCAGTGACAGACTTTATAAAGCGCGTAAGCGCTAACCATTTCATTCGGCCATCCAACCTCCTTTAAAAATATAGTCTGTCAGCTAGAATCTAGGTGTGGATCATACTAGAGCGCATCGCTAAATCCGATATACTTTTCAGGTATAGTTAGTTATCTATTAATTTTTTCCAGATAATTTTTATGTTTTATTTTTTAGGATTGTTTGAATTTAGGAAAATATAATTAAATGAGGTTGAATCACATACTGGCATTTTGCTATTCCGATTTTTTTTCTTGTATTGATTATTACCAAATAATATTTAGGTTTTCGTTGAAGTTGTGTTATCTTGTATTTTTCACATTTGTTTCAATTCAGGAAAATATAATTAGATGGGATTGAATCACATATTGGCGTTTTGTTATTCTGATGTTTTGTGGGGTTTTGTCATTATGTTATTTGATATTTAGAAATATTTTATGACGTGCAGATTTTTTTTCATTTTACAACCCAGTGAACATAAATTAATAACACTCACAATAATATAGTGCATAGTTTGAACAGAAGGCTGTATAATGAAGCCCCGCTAAACTAATACTTGGTCTATTTCATGCTATTTCGCCCGACTATATATGTCGTATGTTATTTGAAAAAATTATTGTATGAACAAAAATCAAACAGCCCAATCATTGAAATAATCTTTCAGCAAATATTTTTATTGACACCTTTCAATTTCTTTTCAAATTTACTAGGCTTCTTCTGGTTTGTTTATGGGGAGGAGCCAAATTTTCTCAAGACCGATCACAACTCGATTACAAATATTCATGATTTTTTACATTCAGTGGATTGACCCAGGATATGTTATTAGTGAGTCCAGTACTCCAACCTCACGCAATAAAAAAAATGAAATGAAATAAAATGGGGTTTAACGTCCTACTGTTCTGCTCCTACACTGGGCTAATGAAGACGGACATACGCCATACAGTGTGCTATGAGGGAAATTTTGCCCGGGCAGCGGCGCTACGGCCTACTCTTATATCGAATTCCAACTGCCAAGGGATCTTTTACGTGCCTCGGTTTTTTGTCCCATCCGAACGACTAGACAGCTGTCCTTGCCAGGCCCTCCATCACTGACAAGGGGAAACCACGCCGGGAAATCTGAATGAACTTTCTCGGCCAATGCAGGAATCGAACACCCGACCTCCAGGCTAGCGAGCCAGCGTCTTACCCACTTAGCCACGTGGTTAACACAATATTAGTGTTATTTATCGCCGTTAAATGTGCAATTCGAAAGAGTAAATGAACATCTGGACATACTTTTCAGCACGTATTAGCTTAAAGGCACAATATTCCAGATTAAGGTCTACAATTATTAAAGCCGTAAATCCTAATAAAGTTCATGGCTTTTTAAAGATCACATTACTTTCTAATGAATTCATGTCGCCATCTATCCATGACCATCAAGCACAAGATAGTATCTATCTAATCTAATGTTGGTGTGGTTTAATCGTCATTAATTTAACTAGAAAACACTTTTCTACACTTTGCAAAATTTAAATAAGCAAAATGATTACTGTCCTCGTGACGCACGGTGACTTGTGCTAAGAATTTAAATATAAAATTTAGTAGTTTTTCTTTTTATAAAGTCAAAATAGACAATACTATCAAGAGACGGAATATGGAAACATTCTTTATTCACCGATTTCTACAAGATTAAAATGCTTAATTTGCCCCATTCCCACCGCATTAATAACATTTAAATAAATCTTAACGTATGTTTTTACACTTTTTACCTAGACACCGTATAAGATTTTAAACCCTATAATTTCTTATTTTTCTATTATCGATTTTTTAGAGAATAAAATTGATATAATGCTAATGAAAGGTTAAGTTCATAACCTAATTACATAATTGATCTATTGACATTTAATCCACCTCTTTACTTCTGTATTGTACTATTATTATCAGATTATATATGCGTCATAAATTTGCTTATTAAAGTTGATTTCATTTACCGATAAAACGTACTTTTAAATGGCGGTATACGAAATATGTGTCATTATTAGAGTTGATTTATGGTTAGTACTGAGATACACCGAATATGTTATATCCCAAGGCTTTGACTCACATATTATTCTATATATCGCTAATATGCAACAAAAAAAAATCCCAAAAAACAAAAAAAAAACCCAACAAACTCTGTGATTATCGTTACCCGACTGGCACTATTTTTATCAATCTGATTAAAACACAGATCCCATTTCGTTTCGTTTTTTATAGTATAAAATTTTGTTTTACTTGTCTTCACAACATAGGATCTGGTAGAGTTGTTATATAACAGGCATTCTAGTTGATGTGAGGAATTAGCCAATTAAATGGTCTTTTACGTCGGGTTCTTGGCGTTCTCTGCACGGAACTGTGAATAAACCCGTAGAAACGCCAACACTGATTGATTAGTCAATGTCTGACGACATATGGTCAAAGGCCGCTCGTATGACCCTTAACGCGACCTCCCAGTACAACTGGATAGATCTTCATGTAGTATAGGCCATCAAAAGAATAAAAAACGAAACGAAATATAGATCTGTATTTTTATCAGATTGTATTTTTTTAGTCAAAATCGTCGACCAACTTGTGTGCGATATTACCCAAGGTGGAAGCGGACGTTAAGCTGTCTCGTGTCCCAGACCCTATAAATCGGCCTTGGCGTGACGTTTAAATCGGCATTATTTTCCAGAATCTTACTCTGGGAATACTAGGAAAAAGTAGCTGTAAACACAAGTATTATCCTTGTTAGCTTTAGGTGCAGTCAGGCGGATATTGCGTGATAATCTAACATATTTAACACCATAAAAAATGATTGCCAGCGATATCACCTCAGCATAAACGAGCGTTAAATGAAGGTATATTATCTCATTATTCCAAATTCATTTCTACAGGGCAAAAGAAAGAACCAGATATACACAGCAGATTGCGGCTTTCTTGTAGCGACCTAAACGGGCATAAATTTCTACGACATATATCCGAGGATCCATCATGCAGCTGTGATCATCGCTTTGAAAATTCTGAACATTTTCTCCGCTGGTGCCCACTTATATACAAATGCACGAAAATATACAATACATCTTTTACCATCCCACCAGCAATCAATTAAACCACTTCTTTTTGGCATAGAAAATCAGACTACATCAAATAACATTTTTAAATTAGTTCATGAATACTTCGATGTTACCAGACGCTTCAATATCTGATTCTATTTATAGAACCCTTTTTATCATGTTATAAAACAGCACTTCCTCTTTTTTTCATTTGTTTTAAATAGTATGTATATGAATTATTTAATTTATATGATTTTCACCATTATGTTATAATATGTACATAGAAGATCTGTATATTATATGTTTTATATTCCTTGTATGAGGAGAGGGGTAATATAGGCTTTGCCTGTTCCCTGATCCCATTTCATAAATTTCTGAAATAAAATATTGTTTACAAAAAAAAATGAAGGTATATCACACACAGTAAAAATTTGGATACAAATATGTTGTTTTTACTTTGCCATGGAAGAGCCAATTCTTATATCAAATGAAATGCAATGGGGTTTAACCCCTACTGTCCTGCTCCGACTGGGCTAATGAAGATGGGCATACGCGATACAGTGTGCTAGGAAGGAAATTTTGCCCGGGTAGCGGCACTATGGCCTACTCTAGTATTGAATTTCAACTGACAAGGGATCTTTTACGTGCACGCTAACGTATTTCTTATATCCACATCATGGCGTTATAGAAATCTTCATTGTTCTCGATCACTCATCCGGTCCTTCGTGAAACGTTTACTTTTCCGCAAAGGGTCCTTGTTTGACCAGACTACAACTAACAACGCGTCGTTTTTATCTGACAACCTTCACGTGTATTCATTTATAATAAAAGTACGTAATGTCCACTTCACCCGTGATGACGCTGATGCTCCCAATGCGACCTGAAAAGTATGAAAGCGTAAATCAAAGCACAGTAAGGCCTCGGAGAACGAATTGGTGACGCAGTGGAAACTGTCAAATGAGGAAGAGGGTGGCCATGCAGCGGGTCGACACTCTGACAAGAACTGTATAATAACGCACGACACCAGCCATAGCAGCGTAAGCCGAATTACACGAGGATTTCTTGGAACATTAAATCGGTAAATCAAGAAAGTTTCGATCTGATTTATCCAGCATTACTGATCGTTTAGTATGAATCAACGACATCAATACTCGTGTGCCAGAACATAACAATCGGCTTTCTGATTTACTAAACCAACATGCACCATTAAAACAAAGACTGTGACAGTTCGTCGATCTGTACCTGGTTTTGATCATAAAACCCCGTGTCTTACAATGTCAACACGGAATGCTGAACGTCGTTGGGGCAAACATAAAACGTCAGAGAATTTGGTGACTTTTCGGACAATCCGTAATATAATAATATACTCCCACCATTTGTTTCGCGCTAAGACATACTTTATTCGGAACAAAATCGATGGCTGTGGGAACAATTCCAAGCGCATGTTGGGAACAGTTTCACGTTTTCTCAGTGCTACAAAACCGAATCCACTTCCAGAACGTGTATCAGATTCCCAGTTCGTCAATGACTGGGTGTTACTTTCAAGATAAAGTAGAAACCATCTGTCGTAACGTTGAAGGACATCCAAAGTATGAGCCACCCGTTTTAGATATACCAGCCTTTGATTCATACTCAAATGTTGACACCATCACAGTGATCAAGCTCATCTGCAATGCAAAACCAACTACGTGTAGCGTAGATCCAATTCCGTCTATGTTGGTGAAGGAATATTGTGATATCCTCGCTCCTGTCATCCAATATGTGATAAATGTTTCATTAACGACTGGTGTAATCTACAATGATTGGGAAATAAAGCTATTATAAAAAAGAACTATTGTTCAGTGAGCAACCTGTCATTCTGGTCCAAGGGGCACCATTTTGGATTTGTAAGCAACAATCAACGACATAAAACAGTGGATGCTGATGAATAGGCTCAAGATGAAAACGACTAGTCAGAGTTCATTGTGTTTGGCAGTTCACGGGCTCTGCCCAAATGTGTTACACCTAAGATAAAAATCGAAGATGTATTTGTACCAAGATCAACATAAGTTAAAGTTCTTGGAGATATCATGGATCAAAAAATCTAACCCTCAAGTCAAATATTGCATCAAAGAAACGTGCTGCGTTCCTATTTTTATTCAACATAAAGAAAAAAAGACACTATTTGTACAGCCCGACGCGTTGAAAGCTGACCAACGCTGTCATATTGTCACATCTAGATTAATGTAAGGGTCTTTTTGTAAATTTACCAAAAACTACACTGGCCCCTCTTCTGCGAGTGAAAAACCTCGCGGCCAAAATGATTCTTGGACAATCCAAATTCTACAGTTGATCTGACGCCCTAAAACAACTCCATTTTCTTCCAGTACGACATGTCCGTGCTGAATATGAAACTATATTGATGGTATATAAATGAATGAACAATAACGCTCCAAATTACCTTTGTGGTCGTTTAACATACAACCCAAATCGATATTCCACACGATCATCAACCGCCCAGGATTTGCATGTTCATAAACAAAAAATAAAACTGTTGCAGACAGATCCTTCAGTGTAGCGGGACCAAAACTATAGAATAAACTACCGCGAAATCTGAAAGAGTGTGCTTTTTTGGAAAGTTTTAACGTATCTATTTCAAAGAACATTCTGCAAATAAAAACTTGTATTATGTGTTTAGGTGTGTGTATTGTTCATGTAAAGCGCCATTAAATACATTAAGTATGTAATAATGAACGCTATATCAAATTCAATAAACATGTAGCACATGTCCAGTACGTTAATTGGGCTATCAATAGGCTTTAAATTATTAAGAGCATCATATTGTATCTTGAAATAATTATTGGCTTAACATACATGTATTAAAGGGAATTCAGATCCCATGCACTAAAATGAATGATTGATAAGTTAGATATAAAAAAAAGAGTTACAGAGTTATAATTTGGTAAACATTCAATTCTAGGTTGATAACAGTTATCACGTGTGAAATTTCTGGTGTAAGTTTCCACTATCCATATAAGGGTGGTTTTCGACGTCATTAGGCTAATTAACCAATCACTATAATTAATTACGTCATATTTGACCAATTCGATAATTGAACGTCCAAACCCAAAGCTACAAAACTATCATATTTCTGAGCATTCGTCAGACAGCCGTTTAATTCCATAGCAATTTCTGTCATCAAACCCAGCGAATCTGATGGATTGGGATTGAGGAAATGAATTTATTGTAATCTATTATGCATTGTACCACATGTAAGCAGCTTGATATATAAAATGTAAAAACGAACTGTTGCATTGTTATTCCTGGTAAAACACAATCTTAACTACTGAGAAGACAAACGTCTCTTATACTGAGATAGATAAGAAGAGAATACACAACGTAAAAAGGAAACCAAGGGAGACAATAGAAAATACTTGACGGTCTCAGACTAGCAATTATTTGCCCATTGACTTCAATGTTAAATGGCTGTAACATCACAGGCTGTAGCTTTTTTCTCAACATTCCGTTGGTTCCAATCTTTATAGGCACAATGGCGACAACATTTGGCAATCTCCTCATCATAATTTTGTAGGGGGTTGACCATTTAGATTTTTTGCTACGCGGATTTGAGGTTGACTGGGGTGAAAATCTCACTTCCGACACAGTGATTGCTCTGCAGAAAGACACTTTACACCCCCTATCCCTCCGCTGTAATATCATCAGTATTACCCAAAACTGCTATGAAATTGCAAATTTGATCCCTTTTCTCCAATTCTAGACCAAAAAGTCAACCAAAAAATGCAGGAAGAGGGGAGAAAAAAATTAAGGGAAAATCATGAAATAAGGGGAAATAATTACTAGTCTTAGTCCAGACGATCACAAGGCTACTAAGATATTTAGTAAGAAAAGATGCATGGGTCATACGTAGGATGTTGCGACCGGTTTGTCGGAGGCCCGCTTTCCATGTCTGACACAAAGACCCATATGGTTTCTACATATTTTTTGCCTCTTTCGTTCTTGCTGCGCTGTTATTGCACTTCTCATTATTTGTTCTATGTTACTCTCCGGTCCGAGCTACCCCTATACCCCAAATTTCAGACTCGGGGCAGACCTAGTGTAGCCGCCAACCCCGAACAGACAGACAGACCAACGACAGTCACAAATATTAGTATAGATAGATTACAACCTATACTGTCACCGTAAGATAACAACACCAATATTGATTGAAATCGATCAATATTAAATTCTAATTCGTGTTTTTAATTTCGAATATTACGGAAAATATATTGAGTTAGAGATTTCGCTCCTTTAAGTTTTTAATGTCTTATAAATGCTCCCATTACCAACAAAAGAATAAATATGCGACAAACTGCGTGGACTGTATTGATGACGTAGGTCTTGTGGGCGTATGTCTCGTTGCCTGATACCCTATGTTTGCAGTTAGAGTTTTAACATTATGCCGTATATCATAAATAATTATTGTAATTGAGCAAATACCTCAAATAATTACAGTTGACTATGTTATTAAACTTTGTGAATTTGCTGGGTATTTTCGAAATCGTACAAGAATTGAGCCTCGGGTGTTTAACTGTTTTCAGACGAAAACATAATGGTTCTTGAAATTATATAGCGGATGCGAATAACAATCCATTGGCAGTGACAGGATGGGCGGCGGATGTAATTGGTGCTGGCTTCAAAACATATCTTATAATTTTGTGATCCATGAATAATTCGGCCCTTGTGTATTGCGAATGGGATCTGTCAATAAATTCTGGTATTATAAAGTTGGTCTGGGAATTTAATAGTTGTCATTCGCCACTGCTATTATTTGAAGACAGCAGTAAGGACATTTTAACGAATCTAAAGCACTGGGGAGTAGAGCAGCGTGTGAGTGTGTTGGCGAAGGGGGGGGGGGCTCCACTGGAACTCGATAAAATTTACAATTTTACATGAATATCTTACCGAAATATGCCAAAACGAGCGATTTTCAGGTGACATCATCATCGGTATTGTCTGATTGATTGTAATTTGTTTACTACAGATCAAACGTGTGACAAATCTTATCAGCAGTTGCTCCATCACTTAATGTACTGGGGAAAAAACATTCGTTTTTACAGGAACTGACTCTCGAGATCAAAATCCGAGCGCTATCGATAAATTAAGCGTGGTGGATCGTTAACAATGGAAGGAAAACAGAGGATCAGGAGAAAACCCACGAGGTAGACAGACGACCATACGGCGTGTCACCTATAAGTGTGGGATCGAAACAAAGCCACTTAAATTTAATCAATTTCGACCATAACTATCAGAGTTGTCTCCCTGTTTTAGGTTCAAATATATGAAAAGTCACATCATTGCATAATACTAATCGGCTATATGTTTGTAGAAAGTGTTAAAGATGCCGTGGTATATCGCATAGAACAATTGATATATGCTTTAAATAATAAAATATTTCTCTCTATTTTTTCAGTCACATAATAAAAGATAGCGAACAAAGAATGGCGGAAATAGCAGGCTTCAGTTTATTTTCCCTTTTAGCTATTTTACTAGCAGGATTGGGATGTCTTCTACATGTGATTGGTCTGTCGGTTCCGTATTGGATTGTAAGTGACCCCAATATTTCTGGATCTACATCTGGTCTGTGGCAAGATTGTAATCCTTTCGCGTGTGCTTCATATCCAGCTGAATTCATTCCAGGTAATTAAATTCACGAAAGAATGCATGAACGAAATGGGGTTTAACGCCATACTCTTCATAAAATCATGCAACCACAAATTGAAGCGCAGTATACCAGATGGATAATTGATGCAAAGCCCCCTTCACCCTTAACATAGTTCTGAAATGACCTAGTCAGTGTTCAATTAGACCCCATCAAAAGTTCTTCTACACATAAATTTTCGATTAACAATCTCTTGTAAGTACATGATTAACAATCTCTTGTAAGTACATGTCTGAAACATATACTGGGCGGCCCAGAAAAAAAACGAGTACACCATTTGAAGTGAAATACTGGGTTAAAAGGGTACTTGATGCAGGGCGAGGGGCATATTGACCATGTGTTTATATAATTATGACTTCTCAATCCGCCAAAATATCATATGACTTCTTTTTTTTAAAACTAGTACTATAGCAACACTATTTGAGCGGTGGACCTGCAATTTGAAGTGCAGTTTTCCAACACCATCCATGTGTAAAATGTTAATAATATAGGTACAATACTTTTTTTTAAAAATTATTTCACTTTAAATTGTGTACTCGTTTTGTTCTGGGCCACCCCATATAACAACATCTGGGTGGAATATTTCTATTGTAAAATGACCAATAAAATTCCCTGTTTTGGCGATATAAAGCTTATGTCACTTTATTTCTTCAGATTATGTTCACGCTACACGGGCGTTTGTCATCATCGGTTTACTGGTCGGAGTTGCTGGCTTGGCCTTATCTGTTTTAAGTTTGATTAAAAAGACTAAATTATTTAAACTCATAGCTGCCATCGCTTGTTTTGTCGCAGGTAAGTAGGACACAATACCAAAAGAAATGCTAGATTGCTTTTGTTTCTTCAGTCTTGACTAAATCTAGGCGTTAGTTTTAATCGTTTACAACAGAAAAGTCCCGACGCGCAATTTGGGCGCTATAGGAATCACTTCTAAACTACAGTATTGTGAAAGATGAATGCTCTAATAGGAATATCGATCTCAAGGATATGTGGAATAAATGTTCATTTACGGCATGGGGTTAATATGCATTTAGTTTTCTCCATGCTAGTTTTAAAAGTTAATTTGCAGCATTCTGGGTGTCAGTTTAGTTTGTAAGCGCTCCGATTTACAGCAATGGTCATAAAATTACATCATATGCTGACCCCTGGCGATCTTGGATTTTGACCTGGGGCATCAAAGTCAATTTGCAGCATTCTGGGGTTCATTTTAGTTTGTAAGTGCTCAGATTTAAAGCAATGGTCATAAAATTACATCATATTATGTTGACCCCCGGCGATCTTGAATTTTGACCTGGTCATGAAGCTGGCATCAAAGTTAATTTGCAGCATTTTGGGGTCATTTTAGTCTGTAAGTACTCAGAAATAAAGCAATGTTCAAAAGCTTTATTTTAAATGATAATACGCTTTGACAAGCCGTTTCCCTGCGAAGTTATATTATTTTACCTTTCACCCACCCCTGTTTTTGACAAAACCCTGAAAACATAAATTACTGCCGGGTTTCATACGTTGCAGGTGGTCCTCTATCAGAATCAGGTGAGAATCTTATGGGCCATTTTATGCATGCAAACACCTCTTTGATCCTGGATTATATTCATCAGTGTTTAATAAAACAATTATGCGTTTTCTTTTCCAGCTGGTTGTATCTTATCAGCTATTATTATTTTCGGAGCAAACTATACATTTGAGGCAGCTAAACATAGGGGATGGGGCTTTATACTGTGTATTGTATGCACGTTTTTATTCGTTCCAGCCGGGATTCTCAATGTCTTGGAGTTTAGACATTCTTCATAATACGGATTTCGTTATTAAGATATTTAAGCATAATCCATGTACAAAAATCTATACTTTTACCCTTACTGCTTAAGTATCTAGTATGCCACCAAGTGGTCTCTGTTTATCTTGGCAACAGATACAGTCTTAGCATAATTAGATGAATCAATATACCCATAGATGATTTCAATTTATCTGAAAGAATTATATTTCTACATATGTAAAACCAAGAAAACCTCGTAATTTAAAGAAGTTAAATCTCTATTTGTTTGAATCGGAAATTGGTCTAAAAGCACATATTAATATAATATGAATGTATGCATAATAATTTATATTTTTAAAAATCAGTTCAAATTGAATGGCAATCGTTCACACCTTGGTGGTCCAGTCTACTACGGGAACACGGTTTGACATTTCACTTCCGCAATGACGTTTTGTCTGGTACTTTAAAATGGTTATCTAATATATTGGATACCGTGACCCCATATTTTCTCGGGAAGATAACAACATCTAATTCGTGGTTTTAATATCAAAGATTATCGAAAATATTGAGTTAAGAGATTTAGCTACTTTGGCTTTGTTGAGCTGTATTTGTTGTATATTGCTATAACTACATATATACATTCTGTTTTTGTATATTTGGTTATTTATGTTATATTGAAGTTATCTTTCATGAAATAGTCATCTTTTTAAAAAAAAAAAATAAAAAAGATTATTGGGTTTGTTTTCTTTTTGTACGTTTAGTTATTTTGTCAACATACATATCTTTATTTTCTGATCAGTAGTGGAATACCGCGTTTTATCAGTGAAATATAAGTGTTATTCCACTGGCTAGAAGCAGACAAAGTAGTCCATGTTGTTTTTACCTAAAATGATTGTAAAATCATAAAATAAATAGAACATTTGTCGTTTTGTCGTGAATAACATATTTTATTTCATCTCTAAGCAAGAAAACGTTTATATTTTCACTCATGCTACGCATTCGTGAAAATATAAGTTTTCTTGCATCTCGATGAAATAAAATATGTTATTCACTCTAAAACGACAAATATCCTCTATATATTAGTGTGACGCGTTTTTAATTACCCATCATTCTGAACAAAATAAGTGACATTTGTATAATTAGTAGCTTGATAATAGCCTCTCTCCACAATGGTGCAAAAAAATAAACACACTTATATGGATATACTACTTCTGAACTTCTGAATTTTATTAACATGCTACGTTTCAATACACATACCGGTATCGTCATCAAGCATATAACGATACCTGTATGTGAATTGAAACGTAGCATGTTAATAAAATTTAGAAGTAGTATATTCATATAAGTGTGTTTATTTTTAGTGAAACCTATTTCTATATGTCTTATTGGGATTATGGTGTAAAAATACTAAAACGTATATATCCTTACCTGAAATTCGGGTTGTTTTACTCACACCCTAACATTTCATGAATATTTTGACGGTTTGCTGACAACTACCATTATATCCATAGTGAAATATTGAGATAGTTCGAAATATCTTGACGGCATTAGTTCGGTTAGCATAACGTTCAGTTACAATGGGTAATCTTGTCGATATAATCATATATATAATTTACCAATAAATTGAAGAAATAAATTTAAGTGAATTGCATTTGTCACACCTGGTGTTGATAGAAGCGTATACAACAAGTATTTTGGTAGCCTCAATTTAGGCTACGTATTTTGGTAATATTTATGTATTTAAGTACCACCATGACAAATCCTTTTAGATTCAATAAGAATATATTCAGTTTTATCTCCATTTTAACGTAATGTCATTTACATTACTAGAATTAGCTGGTTTGAAAGAGAGAGAGAGAGAGAAATGGGGTTTAACGTCCACTCGACACAAACGAGGTCATTTCGGGACTAACATGGTTTAATTTTATTTTAATAATTCGCTTGCGCGTAGGGGTCTTTAGCAGTGGGAGGAAACCGGAGGACCCAGAGAAAACCCACGAGGTTGGACAGGCGACCCTACTCCTTGTCACGTACAACCGTGGATTCGAAACCACGCCAGTTGACTCAATGACCGACCTTATGATACAGCGCGCACGTTCTATCCATTCGGCCATCCAACCCCCAGCTGGTTTGAAGGAAATATACAATAGTGATTTTTATGTGAAATACAAGGTAGTAGCTTCTAACTATTTTACTTAATAGAGTAAACAGAGTAAGACCCAACAGTGATCCCTGTCGTTTGGTTTTGTAGGGTATGTGTTTTTAGTTCATTACAAATGGCGTCCGAAACCATACAGTACACGACTATTGGACTGATTTTTAAAACGTTCATTGTGTCTTAAATATTGGATATTATTGATTACATATTTTCATGTTACCATAACATCATCAAAATTGATTGAAATGTACCAAACATTAATTTTAATTCGATTTTTAATTTCGAATATTATTGAAAACATTGAGTTAAAAGTTTAAATATTAAATAATCAATAAGCCGTACGGAATTTGATATTTTAGCGAGAAATACCAATGGCGCTTCGCTACTTTAAGCGCTAGATAATAAAAAATGACCCAAATAGTTTGTCTTTAAATTGTCGCTCACAATATTTATTCAGTCGTTTGGAAGAGATCGGTAGACTTTCTTAAAAGGTCAGCTTCAATATAATGAGGAATTCCACTGTTCATCTGCATAAGCGACTGCGCAAATATATATAAGGATTTCTACTGTTCAATTGAATAAGTGGCTTGGTAATCGCGACGAACACTCTCTGTGTAACTTATTCAAATTTGAGACGTGGCTATTCACGCACCTTGGAATAGCAGGAAATTTGCAGAAATGGCAACAAAGACATATCAAAACTAAAATTTCTCAAATACGTGTATACGGTTTCATCCACCCCCAAATTTTCGTTGGACAGAGAAACAAATGGTCATGTCTTGACAATTTGTATGAGGATGACCACAAAAATTTTGCGATACATAACCTTGAAGAAGAATACTAAAACATGCAACTATTGTCTATTCGCCGTAAATATTACCGTAACAATCCTGTTAGTTCGATCCCTGCATTGGCCGAGAAAGTTCATCAGGATTTTCGGACGTGGTTTCCCCTTGTCAGTGGTGCAGAATAGAGGGCCTGGCAAGGACAGTTGTCTAGTCCTTCGGATGAGACGAAAAACCGAGGTCCTGTGTATACATTGGAATGTACGTAAAAGATCCCTAGACAGTTGGAATTCGATATAAGAGTAGGCGATAATGCCGCTGCCCGGGCAAAATTTCCCTCATAGCACACTGTATGGCATATGCCCCTCTTCATTAGCCCAGTATAGGAGCAGAACAGTAGGACGTTAAACCCCATTTCATTTCTGTAACCATCCTGTTAACTCTGTTATATACTATTCAAAAAAAGTAGGGGATATTTGATTTTTAAGTGTTATTAAAGTCACCTAATGAAACTGACGAAGAAACAAATGACAAAATGAAATGAAGTTCACATTCATCGATTTATTCCAAATGACCGTTAGACTAAGTAAGGCACAGACTGGCTATTATAAGGGTAAAATGATACCCGGGGTCAAACAGCAAAGTTACCACAGCATCACAACCAAGTCAGTAACGGGTTAATCCTCCTCTGTTTGCCAAACAAGCATTGATCCGACGTGGCATACTCCTAATGAGACGTCTAAGGTCATTTTGGTCCAGATTGTCCCATTCCTGTTGCAACGCAGCAGCAAGTTCTTGGACATTGGCAGGACGTTGTTGACGTTGACGTAACCTCTGTCCAAGCATGTCCCAGACATGCTCGATGGGGGAGAGGTCGGGACTCAGTGCTGGCCAAGGTAATGTGGTGATGTTCTGTTGTTGGAGGTAACCTGTAACGATCCTGGCCCTGTGACATCTTGCGTTGTCATCCTGGAAGATGAAACGGCGGCCATGACGTCGTGCGAACGGCACAACATGGACTGCCAAGATGTTGTCCCGGTAGTACTGGCCTGTAACACGCCCTGCAACAACATGTAAAGCCGTTCTTCCAGCAACAGTGATGCCTCCCCACACCATAACAGAACCACCCCCAAATCGATCATGTCTGATGACGTTAACGTCTTGGAAGCGCTCGTTTCGACGACGCCACACCCTCCTACGTCTGTCCAAAAAATCAACAGTGAACCTTGACTCATCTGAAAACATCACATTGCTCCAGCGTCGATTATCCCAGTGTTGACGATCCCTACACCAACGACGCCTTGCCTGAATGTGATGATCTCTCAAACAAGGGATCACGCGAGGACGTCGGGCGCGAAGGTGACCCCTATGCAGTCGATTCCGAATCGTCTGGCCACTCACTCTCACACCAGTGTCTGTTTGAAGACGAGCGCTGATCTGATTTGCTGTGATGACACGATTTCTCAAGGCCAAGGTACGGATAAATCGATCCTGGGCTTGAGTTGTCGCCCTTGGTCGACCTGAGCGTGGTCTGTCCTGTACAGATTGTGTATCACGGTATCTGGACCATAGCCTGCTTATGACAGACTGAGAAACATTCATCGTCCGCGCCACAACCGCCTGTGTTGTGCCGATCTGTAGCATGCCAAGGGCACGTAACCTTTCATTTTGGGTAAGCCGACGCATATCAAAATTTGTTTTCTGGTCACTAAAACAATTAAACTGATGTTTCCACCCTGGAATTCAATGCCACAATGACTGTAACATTCAAAGTCAGAGTCGTGCAAATCTTGGGTTGGACCCCCATGATGATCCCAAGCATCACCTGCATTCCATGCGGTAGCTATTGGTGCGTTTGGGCGTCACATGTAACTGGAAATGTTTCTTCTGTTAGGTTCTATAGTGACTTTTTTCGTAGTCATTTGCATATTTTAGTATTATGCCCCCAAAATCAAATATCCCCTACTTTTTTGGAATAGTATACTTCCGTCGCTAAATCCTGAACATTTAAAAGGAAATTGGCAGAAAATGTTAATTCAAACTCTCTTCGTCCATTCTAGACCAAAAAATCAACAAAAGAGAAACAAGAGAGAGAATTGCTATAAATATTTGTGGGTACCGAGGGATGAAATTTGATGGTGGTTTGCATCATGTATGGTTGTATTAGTTCATATGTCAGCAAAATTCTTTTCTCCATAGCGTCACATTTATTCTAGCAACATTATTATAATACAGAATCAAAATAAAATAATAACTACCCCCCCCCCCCCCAAAAAAAAACAAACAAACAAACAAACCCGATGAACTGTTAAAGTAATGTATTGTTTTGTATACCGGGTTGCAGTTCAGGTCCATGGGCCTTTTAATGTAGGTTCTTTCTTAAATTTGTTAAAACGTGAGTTCTGCAAAAATTGAATTCTTTTACCTATTTTTACTATTGAAGAAATAAAACTAACGACCATGTTCTAGTATCCCTGGCTTATATACGTACACGTACATGTACATATAAGTACATATAAACATATGTACTTACAAGAAGTGTGAATTATTAATTAAAATGTGGATTGATAAAAACACATGCTTTAATTAGGTAATAATCAACCACTCTAATGCACGGGCCACAAACAGCAAAATGTTTATAAAATTTGGAAAAATCAGTGTTTGAAACACTTCAAACATCAGAGGTGTCATTCAATTTATGTAGTGTAATTATTTTGTGGAAGCGAGTTGTTATAATCTTTATATTCATTTCTTCCTGATAAAATGAAGATGAAAA